TGTATCCCGATCAGGACACTATCTGCAAGGAGTTTGCGTGTTCTCCCTGTGCTTGTGTGGGTTTCCTCCCACGCTCTATGGGGGTTATTCACTATTGAGCTGAAGGATACAGCCGTAGCTTCAGGTGATCCTTCGGCTCTCTTCGGCCGCTGGAGCCCTTTGGTTATTTTTTTTTTTCTTTCATTTAAAAAATATATCTTTATTTTTTTTTAAAGTTTGCTATTTGTTTAAATCTTTAAAATAATTTTCCTACTTTTTTCCCCCTTTCCTTTCACTTACTTTCTATTCTACTCAATACCAAATAGGTACTGAGCAGAATAGCCGAGCAGAATGTCGGAGCTTCGGCTCAGCCGATCCAGATGTTGGAGTCCTTCTGCACTTCCAGTCAAAGTCCTTCTGCACTTCGGCTCAGCCAAACATGCAGAGCATGTTCGGCTGACCAAAGGCAGCCGTACAGAGCTGATGTATTGCTGATTTCAGCCGATGTACGGCTGAAATCAGTCATACAAGCCTGAAGTGAATAGCCAAACAGCATTTGGCTCACTTACTTCGGCTGGGTTATTCACTTGGCTGCCTTTGGCAGCTTTGTGAATACCCCTCTAAAGACTGGAAGGGCAATTGACTTCTGCCTAAATTGGCCTTGTAAGCATATGAAATACAGACCTTAGGTTGTAAGCTCCTCGAGGGCAGGAACTGATGTGAATGTGTAGTGTGTAAAGAGCTGCATAAACTGTTGGTGCTTTATAAATACCAATAATAAATAAATAATTGTATGTCAAGTCAAAAGCTTTTTTTTCAGTTTTGGGTAGAATTGTGAAGGATTATTGAGTTTTTACTGTCATTTGTGGCTCTGTGAGATTTGCCTTCACTTCCAATACTGCTGACAATGCATTCACCAGACAGGCATTGAAGAAAATCTGCAATAGGGACACATATAGCAATAAAAATCTGACAGGGATTCTATTCTTTCCCTACTGTATACAAAATTTTAAAAAGTTTTTGGTTTGGCATACACTCTAAATATGCTCTTAGTCACTGGCCATGTATATTATTATATGTAATGCAGATTAAAGATGTTATACTTTATACCATAAACATACTTTTTTTTCTAAAAATGCACCGCACAGGATATAGATAGGTATGATTTTGAAAAATGTGAGCAACCTTTTATCAATGATTTACTGACACTGTAAAAAAAGGCATACATTTTATTACTAAACTACTTTTTCTGTAACCACACATTTTCATATGCCACTTTTATTGTAGAGCAAATTCTTTGTTGCTCTCCCACAACTAACTTCAAAGACATACCAATTTCTTTCCTGTTCTTTTACATATCTGCTGATGTGTGTTTACATAAGTAACTGTGGTCACAGAAACATTCCAGACATGCTCATATATTCAAGAGGCAAACATACAAAACTACAAACTATAAATTGGAGAAGAATAGGACTTCTGTAGTTGACTTCTGTAGTTGACTGCTGTAGGGTGCCATATGGGGCATGGGGCAGCACAGTGGCGTAGTGGTTAGCACTTTCTGGGTCCCCAGTTCAAATACCGCTCAGGACACTATCTGCAAGGAGTACGCATGTTCTTCCTGTGCTTATGTGGGTTTTTGTTCCGTGTACCACGGTTTTCTCCCACAAGATATGCTGGAAAGTTAGTTGACTCCTGTCTAAAATTAGACCTGTATATGTGTACAATAGGGACCTCAGATTGTAAGCTCCGTCAGGGCAAGGACTGATGTGAATGTACAGTATGTAAAGCACTGTGTACATTGTATATACATATCTGCAATAAATAAATAGCCTGCTTACTGTTCCCCCTGATAAAACATGTATAAATTAAAATAAATATGGAAAATATTTCTGAAATGTATAGCAACACTTTAAGCCTTGGTTACTTTAGAGTTCTTATTGAAGTCAAACTCCACTTTTTTTTCCCTCACCTTTCATAACCCTCCAACCTCCCCCCACCCCCCGCCGAAGCCCGTCCCCACCAACACTTTAAAAAAATAAATAAACTATACTTACCTTTTTTACTATAGCCTTCTAGCAAGTTTGGTAATGCTACAGGACCTTCCTTTTCTTCCTTATAGTGGTGGGGTACTTAGGCCTGGACAGCACAATGCTCATGTAATGATGTACGAGCAATGTGCTGTCCAAGAATACTATGAGTTGAGGCCAATGTGATAACATATGATAGAAAAGGCTTGTTGCACTCCTTACCAGAAATCCCTGTATTTGGGGAAGGGTGCTTGGATTGACTGTGGATGGCGCCGCAAGTTGCACATGATATGAGAGAAATGACACCAGCACACCAAATTCCTTCAAGCTACTTTGAGGCCACCTAACACCGTGGTATTGCCTCACAATGCCACAATATATATACATATATATACTGGTCTGACTTTGTAGAACTGTAAAATCTTTTGCATGTCATTTATTGATTTTAACGATTAGGGCTAAAAAAAACAAATAACACCTTTTTTTTAGTTGGGCTAATATTAAATATTGCATTTGCAGATGGAGCTCCAGGCCTCTCTCAGATGTTAAACAGCCTTTCTTTAGCTGAAAATAAATTTGATATTTACAGAGCTCAGTTGCACAAACATGTTGATTCACAAAAATAGAGGCTGTTCAAAAAATTATTGTAAGTGAATAGGGTGAACTTGTGTTTATTTTAGATATCTAATCACTCATGTGGGACATTTGAAAGCAGGATTTTTACTAGAACATGATGATTCACACAATTTTACTGTATTCACTAGGCTGAGTGAACATTTACATTGCTAAGTGAACAGTTTCTAAATCAACCCCAATGAGTCAATAAAGGAATATCTCACCTCTCAGCCTTCTCTTTCCTGCTCTCTTAAAACACAGCTATAAAGGGTTTCAGTTAGAGAGTGAAAGTGTTAAAGAAAAAAAAATTCTGCTCTGCTCTGCGATACCAGTGTCATGGATGTACCCTGTATTAAATGTTTATTTGCAAAATAAAGTAGTAAGAAAGATATTAAGCATCTGTTTAAAAATACAAAACTTAATACATTTAAAATAAAATTTACCCCAAACTCACCAGAATGAATTCTAATTGGTAGCTATATGTTACCTAACTTAACCACTTGAAGACCCTAAGACACTATGGGGTCTATTCACTAAGCTGCCGTAGGCAGCCGAGAGAAAGACCGACCTGAAGTGAAGTAAACCGAACGCTGTTCGGCTATTCACTTCAGGCTGGTGCGGCTGATTTCAGCCGAATATCGGCTGAAATCAGCCGTACATCGGGTGGCTTCACATGCTTAGCATGTTCGGCTGACCCGAAGTGCAGAAGGAGTTCGACTCAGCCGATCCAACATTTGGATCGGCTGAGCCGAACCTCCGGCAGGCTACTCGCTGCTGTTCGGTCTATTCTCATAGATGCCGAACAGCAGTGAGTGAATAGCCGAATGCCGCCGAACATAGAGACCGAGCAGAACAGAAAAACAGTTAAAAAAATAGAAAAATTAAAATAGAAAGTGATTGTGCGGAGCTAGCAGTGACAGCTAGCTACGCCCAACAGTTTTCTATTGGCCGGCGGTTCTGCTGCCGTCAAAAAAAAAAAAGAAAAAAAAAAGAAGCCTAACTCTCCCGGGCGCTCCGGGAGTCTCTAGCCCAGGGCCGCCAAGGAGAGAAACACTGCTTTTTCTTTTTTATTCCTATTCTGACACGGAGCCGTGTCAGAATAGAAAAAAATTATAAATTTGGCCATATTTGCAATAGCAAATAGCAAATTATCGGGGCAGGTGCAATAGAGCGGGTGCAATATTAGCCCTTTGGTTCTACTGAACCGAAGGGGTCCTGGGGCCAAAGCTAGCCGAAGGATCGCCCGAAGCTATGGCCAGATCCTTCATCTGCTTCGTGAATAGACCCCTATGTTATAATACAATTATTATTACCCAATTTTTTGGTAAAATATAAAAGACTGGGTCACAATGGATAAATCTTTAAAATTGCGCGCACCCGCAAAATTGCAAAAAACTACCATACCCAAAATTGACCATAGGCAACCTTTAAAGCTTTTACCGCTCATCAGTTTAGTGTTATCAGTGAATGATGGCTGTAGAATTATTGCTCAGTGCTACTCATTGCCCTAGTTTGGGCATGTACATTGAGGCCTTCTTCAAGCAAGCAACAAGGAAAAAGATCACAATAGTGATTGCTACAATTAAACATTCTTGGTTCACATAACTGTATAAACATTGCTCTCACTGCGGCGTTCGTGGCGATATGTAACATGTGCAGCGCAATTACGGGCGCAATTGTAATTTTTTTTGCAACTTTAATTTATTAATAAGAGCTGGGCAGGTAGATGTATATGGCCCTTACACATCTCCCCACCCGCCTCTTTTAACGTCAGGCAGAATTGGGCCCCGTCACTGGACTTGGTTAACCATGGGTATAACATTGATTAGAGGTCTTGTTGTGGGTTGTGTCTTCTCTACCCACCTCCCACTGCTCTGAATGCATGCACCATCAACCCCTCTCTCCCCTAGCTCAGGTGGCAAAAAGCCTAGGGACACCATTGCCCACCACTCGTTTTAGTGCTGGGAGCTAAATGAAATATCCTGTATTTCTAGTTATGGAGGAGCATGTGATTCTCTGTAAGTGACGACGCTTGGCCAATCAATGCTGTTATAATGGGAGTCCATAGGCCTGTGTAACCTACAACTCCAGCAACTTGAAGCTTACACGGGCTACAATAAAATGCACATTCTGTGAAGAAATAAAGGTTTATATATGTTCTGTGTAGCTGTATCCACTTTTAGCTCCTCTAGCTTGCAATAGTCAGAGCCCTCTCAGTCTTCTTGTGTGCTACTCATTGCCCTAGTTTGGGCATGTACATTGAGGCCTTCTTCAAGCAAGCAACAAGGAAAAAGATCACAATAGTGATTGCTACAATTAAACATTCTTGGTTCACATAACTGTATAAACATTGTGTAAAAACTTTCATCAATTTTTCAGCCGTGACTTCAGAACAACATCAAAACAGTCAGACCAGACCATACCTTGGTGTGCGTGTAAAGGAACCAGTCAAAGAACTTCTGAAGAGAAAAAGAGGGAGTGCCAGTGCAACTAACACTACAACCTCCCAGGTATTGTGGTTTATGGTAGATCATGAGCTTTAAAGCTAACATTTTTCATGCTAGAAAATAGCAAATCATGCCGATTCCTTGAGCAGCTATCTTGAATGGTGTGTTTATGTGTAGGTGTCATTAGCAATGTGGTTTTTGTAATGTTTTATACTACTTTTGCATGAACAATGTTTTTAGTAAGGCTTGAGAAACATGAAAAGTGACAGTAAACCAATATTGCTGCACCACAGTCATGTCTTGTGCTGAATAAACTTTACAAACAGAAAGGATGTTTGCATATGATCAGATATACTGTATATATAGATAGATATATGTGTAAAAATTGAGCATATGGAGCATATAAACATTTTTATTATTTTGAAATTAGCACTAGAGAATGAAATTCAGAGTTTCCTGCTTTGCCACAATTTGGAATCTTTCAGCAAGAGTCACCATGTTGATGAACTGAATTGCAGTAAAAGGGAAAAGCAAAATTAATGTGACACTAAACTCAGGAGTTAAATCGTAAAAATGCATTCAAGTACCCTAACTATTAACACAAATGTACCTTATTTGTGGATCTCTCAGTTGTAGATCCTTAAATCATCTCTGAATTGGTGCTGACACTGTCCTTCCTTCTGGAGGGTGGCTTCTTTTTTTCCCCATGGTCCCTATGTGTGTTGTAATATAGGCATCGCTCCAAGCTCTTTCATTTAAATGATTACAATTGCAATACAATAATAATAATAATAATAATTGCAAAAGTATTTATTCACTAAGATAAATAAGTTATTATAACACACTACTTTTTTTTATCTCTTAATAATTTTGTTTCGGAGGGGAAGAGAGGCTGCAAGAAACGGTCTACTCATGTAGTAGTCTTGTATACCGACTTTAAAATGTTACCTTCAGTTTATAGAGGTGGGGATAGAACATATAGCTACTGTCAGTCATGTTTTTAGATTATTCTTTTATTGACATTTAGCTGAATGTATATCATGAACATAGGGTATATTTAAATAAGATCAGATTTTTGATTATAGAAGAACAATACCGTTGTGGAGTATTATTATTATTATTATTATTATTATTTCCACTATCTCTAAACCAAGCAGCATTGTGGGGTCTGCATAGGTACATATACATGATGAAACTAACATTTTTACGGCAGGTTAAATAGAACATCCTGAAATCTGCTCCTGTACATTTTATTGCTCTACTTATTTTTCTTGCTATAGTCATGTGAGAGTGTGAGAGTAGCATGTGCAGGTGGCACTTCAGTTCCAATCCAGTACTCCCTCCAGCCCAGTTCCAATCCAGAAATCTCTTTGCTTCCTACATCATTAACTTTTCTAATTTGAGCAGGTGGAAATGTTTTGTTTATTTCTTTAAAGTACGTTGAAAAATTACAATGCTCCTTTTTAATGCTTGCATTTGTCGCGGTTTATGAGAAAGTTAGTGCAAATTTTGTTTGTAGATTTCAGATATCGTAGATAGCATAAGCTAGACAAGCATAGGCTCCTAAATTTGCCACTTTACTTTTTAAAATATACAGGCAGAACAACTAGATTTTCTCACTTTTTGAAATGTGTGAACATGGAGATCTACATCTATGCGTGGTGGTGGGGAGTCTTGATATCTGTGCTGTATACATTGGGCCCAACCTGGTTTCTTTTTTTTTTAAACATCTTTTTATTAGTTTTTGCCATATAAAAACATATAATTATTACACTTCCATTAACAAACACAAATTTTGACAACACATTTTAACATATACAAAAAAAATACCCCCCAAAATTCATAAAAACAAAAGAAAAAGACCCTATCTTACTAAGCATTGCTTATAAATATCGAGTGTTGACATCATATGCATTCATTTATCCTGGGAGATATCAATCCACATATCATCACTTTATCTTTTGCCAGTCACTTATCCACTCATATTACTCTCTTTAATTTACAGTCTATTATATATTTTTTTTTTTCTTTTTCAATAGCCTATGTGCAGAAGGGGAGAAGTAAGAATGGAAAGGGACACA